CAAATAAATAAAATAAATAAATAATGCATGGCAAGTGTAGATTTCTAGCGGTCAATGGAAGTGACACCTCCTCCATACACATGCTAAAAATACAAAGCTTTTTTCAATTAATTTTTTTCATATGTAAAATAAAAATACACCACAAAGGTCTCAGTAACAGATTCTAATGTTCTAGCATTATAGAAAAAGGAAAAAAGAAGATAAGCAGAGGGAGATTGGTATTCATATATTTCATTAAAACTAGACCAAATTGAATACAAGTTCACTTGTATTAATGTTTTTGTTACATCCCGAATAGACTACTGCAATATGCTCTATGTGGTGTTGCTTTTGAAGACTGTTTGGAAGCTTCAAATGGTCCAACAGGTGACAGCCAGGTTCCTCACTAGAGCAGCATACAGGAAGCACACAACCCCCCTTTTGTGTCAGCTCCATTGGCTGCCAGTCTACTACTGAGCTCAATTCAAAGCGCTGGCTTTAGCCTATAAAGCCCTAAACAGTTTACCTGTCCAAATGTATCTTCCTCTGTGATCCATCTCAAAGGTTAAGATCATTTGGAGAGGCCCTATTCTCAGTTCCACCTCCCTTGCAAGCTCGACTGGTAGGGACGAGAGACAGGATCTTCTCAGTGATGGCCCCTTGACTATGAAGCTCCCTAACCAGTGATATTAGATCTGCCCGCTTCTTCCTGGCCTTCAGAAAGTAAGTCAAAATGTAGCTTTGGGACCAATCTTTTTGGATAATAATTGTAGTCCAATAAATGGATATGGAATCTGTGCAATGACTACAGGAATGGCCCAGATTACAATTGTGGATGGCATTATTTTTAAACAGTTGGTGTAATGTTTTAAATGTCTAATTTGCAGTTTTAATTTAAATGTCTACTTTACTTGCTTATTGTTTTTATGACATTGAATTATTGCCTATATGAAAAGACGCGTTGAGTCCCCTTCAGGGTGAGAAGAGCGGGGGATATAGTAAATCCATACATACATACATACATACATACATACATACATACATACATACATACTAATTAATATTATATCTTTATTTTGGCACAGGCTTCAAGGAAATTTGGATCCTCTTGAAACTCAGTACAACCAAATTGTGCATAATAAATAGTTTATTTAAATTAACTAACTTTCCTATGCCTAGGTTGTCCGATCCTTGTGGTTTTTTAGTGATCAATTGCTGGCCTCTTTTATGAGCTCATCACATAAGGGAAATTTGGGCTGTGTGAGCACCAGATTTTCGCTTTCTAAGGAGATCTATGATGCCTCACCTATTCAGGCATGTATTTCTCTTGTGTATAATTCCTAAGGCAGGCCTTACGTATACTTCTCCATCATCTTTTTATATGTAGTAACTAGCATATTTGAGGATACGGGTGTAATGAAATCTTCATTTTCCAGTGTGTTTTCAGAACACTTTAATCATTGGCTGTTTAAGATGGGCAAGAATCCTATTCCCTCCTAATTTATTCTAGAATCTAGAGCAGGGGTCCTCAAACTTTTTAAACAGAGGGCCAGGTCACAGTCCATCAAACTGTTGGAGGGCCGGATTATAATTTGAAAAAAACATGAATGAATTCCTATGCACACTGCACATGTCTTATTTGTAGTGCAAAATACACTTAAACACAGTACAATAATTAAAATTAAGAACAATGTTAACAAATATAAACTTATTAGTATTTCAATGGGAAGTGTGGGCCTGCTTTTGGCTGATGAGATAGAATTGTTGTTGTGTGCTTTCAAGTTGTTTCAGACTTAGGTTGACCCTGAGCGAGGGCCGGGTATATGATCTTGGAGGGCCATATCTGGGCCCTGGGCCTTAGTTTGAGGACCCCTGATCTAGAGTGTCTTGAGTGACACACATACCAAATTTCAGGGCTCCAGGAAAAGATCCTGGTGGCACAAATGCACCAATTCTACTGTGTTTCCACAATGGGAGTCCACATGCCCCAAATATATCCATTGGTACTCCTAAATGAAAGTTGCAGTCGCATGTGCCATAGCTGTAGCTTACATTTTATATACGTATCCTCCAAATCTCAAGCTTGAAGATACAGTGGAATGACTATTACACTCCATTTTACAGAATGTAAAGTTTAATTTGCTCTAGTTGGCTGACACAAACTAGGTTGAATGGTTTGAGACTCTATGAAATATTCACTGAAAAACTATAGCAAAATGTGCCGCAGGATGTCCCACAAAAACAAAGTTTTTACATTTTAATAATCTTTTCCCATGTGTTTATAAGAGAACCAAGTAGGAAATGACATTTATAACCCAGGAACATGTTACACAGTGTAATGAATGACATCGGGCTGGGCAGGGACATACAAACGGTCGTGTTTGTATGTGAAAGTGAATAGTTGCATAGTGTCATGGTTTGAGTGTGGAAATAGGAGTTGACTTCTCTTGTTCACTTGTTTTTCTGGGTGAGAACAACTGTGAACAACATTTGTTGCTATGTTAGTTCAAGTCATTACTGATTGATGGTGACCCTAAGGGCCCTTCCAGACAGCCCTATATCCCAGAATATCAAGGCAAAAAATCCCACAATGTCTGAGTTCACTCAGATATTGTGGGATTTTCTGCCTTGATACTCTGGGATAAAGGGCTGTCTGGAAGGGTCCTAAGGCAAACCTATTCTGGGGTTGTCTTGGCAAGATTTGTTCAGAAGAGGGTTGCCCTTGCCTCCCTCTGAGGCTGAGAGAGAGTGACTTCTGCAAGGTCAGCCAAGGGGTTTCCAATCCATAGCCAAATGGGGACTTGAACCCTGGCTTCCCAGCACTCAAACCGCTATGCTATGTCCAGGAGACCAGTACAAATTTCTGCTTGGTTATGGAAACTTGCTGGCTGATTCTGGACAAAACACATTCTTTTAATGTCAATGAAAGGCAAAGGTGAACCCTCTCTGAAAAAATCTTGTCAAGAAACCCCCATGATAGCCTCACCTTAGGGTCAATGTAAGTTGGAAATGACTTGAAGACACACAGCAACAATGTGAAAGTTGAACCTGCCCAATTTGACCACACAGCCCTATATCCCAGAATATCAAGGCAGAAAATCCCACAATATCTGCTTTGAACTGGGCTGAGTCCACAGATAATGTGGTATTTTCTGCCTTGATATTCTGGTATAAAGGGCTGTGTGAAAGGGCCCCATGTAAAATAGAATTGAAGCTACTGCAGCATCTCTCCCAGACTAATGGCGATCAGGCTTGTACCTACAGAACAACAGAGAAGTTTGGGCTGAAGTCTGAATCCAGAGTCTCATTGCCAGGATTCACTGATATTTCTGGAGCAGGATACCCAGGGAAGAGGAGGCAAATGGGCAGGGCCTTCTCTAAAGGGCTGTGGTCAAGATGAATGACAGGAGGAAGCACTCCATGCCCTCAAACAGGAGCAGAGGGTGCATCTAAATATATGGGGATTCGTACTCAAGGAGGACAAACTGTAGCAACTGTGCCTACTAGTACATAGTAATAAAAAGTATTCATATGTTTTTGCATTAATAAGGCATAAAAGAACCCAGGAGAACCACTGAAACTCACTCACTAGTTCATTCTAGCACAGTGGATCCCAACCTTTTTTTGACCAGGGACCACTTTCCAACATTAGTACCAAAAAGGTTATGAATCAGTTTTTGGTCTACTTTAGATTTGGTTTGGTTATTTGAGGTGCTAATTCAGAAAACTGCATTGGATGGACCACAACAGTTCTAGTTTCTGATTTAGAAGACATGCTACCCAGTAGACGCCATCTGCTCGCCCACAGAAAACCATATTTTATAAGCCTCGGTACTACTATAAAAGGGTTTCATGAGACCGGTCACTCTTGTTGCAACAGTGTACTAACAGTGAGGCCGAGGACCATACTTTAGTTCTTGCAGACCACTGGTTGTCCACAGGCCACAGGTTGGGAGCCACTGTTCTAGCATAAGCTTTGGCAGACTCTGATCCACCCCATAAGATGTACTATCAGTACAATAGCCATAGTAAGAATAAAAGTGCTAGTGAACAATGAATAATAATGCAGTATTTTAGTGACATTCCCCCTGTTATGATCTGGTCATCGAGGGTAATAAAGTTTACTTAACAAGTGACACTTCCGGGGGGGGGGGCTTTCTTCCTTAATTACTCTTGCAAATGCAATACTGATAGCCTTTCAGTGATGGAGCTAGTCGCTTTTCAGGTACATTTGCCAAGTGTGCTATTAGACAGAATAACCCCTATTTTTGAGAGTTGGAAAATGTGTCCCTTATGCATTCTCTTATTATATGCATTCTCTTATTATAAGGAATCTCATAAGATTGAACACTGGGAAGCTTGTCCTTTCTGGGCCTGGGAGGTGTCCCTTCTGAGGAGGAATACCCCTTTATTTGAGGACTGGAAAGCCTCAAAGGCCCGAACAAGGAGCCAAAAAGAAAGTGTGTGCCTTTTGGAATGCAGTCCCTTGGTGAGGCCAAACCTGTGTCATTTATGAATGTGGGCACTGGGTTTATTTTACAGAGAAATGCCTGGCTAAGCGCACTGAGATCACTCCTTCCCTTGGCTCTTGGGGTAGGAGTGGAGCTGGGGGAAGGAGGGAGGGAAAGAAGGAAGGAAAGGAGGGAGGGAGGAAGGAAGGAAAGAGGCGTGCGCCCCGTCGGACCCAGGAGCGCTTGCCTACCTGCCTGCCTGCCTGCCGTGGGCTTGGGGCTCCCATTTCGGAGGCGCTGCCGGCTTCTCCCAGGTGACCTTCCTTCCTTCCTTCCTTCCTTCCTTCCTTCCTTCCTTCCTTCCTTCCTTTCCTTCCTTCCTTCCTTCCTTCCTTCCTTCCTTCCTTCCTTCCTTCCTTCCTTCCTTCCTTCCTTCCTTCCTTCCTCCTTCCTTCCTTCCTTCCTTCCTTCTTCCTTCCTTCCTTCCTTCCTTCCTTCCTTCCTTCCTTCCTTCCTTCCTTCGGGGGGGGGAGGATGGGGAGCGCGTGTGGGCGCTCTGAAGTGACTTACCACCACCGCCCGCTGTTGTTGACCGCCAGCGTGTTGGAAAGCGAGGAGAAAGCCAAAACCCACAAGGTCTTCAAGCCTAGCATTAATGCCACGGGACTCATCGCTTCGCCGCCCCGCTCGCCTCCTCGGCCGCACCGCAAGGAGGAGGAGGAAGAGCAGCAGCAGCAGGAACAGCAGCAGCAGCAGCAGGAGGAGGAGAAGCCGGGTCCGCGGGTCCCTCTGCGAGGAGCTCTGCACGCCACACGCGGGACTCCAATCCGCGCCTGTCGCGGGGGCGGGAGGGCGCGGGAAGGAAGAAAGAGGGCAGTCCTTCTCCTCTGGGACAGCTCCCTTTGGGCCGGGGTAGGAGGGCTGCGGAGGCGGCGGCGGCGGCCGGGCTGTCTGGTGCCTGCCTGGTGAAGGGCTGCGGTCTGCGCCCCGGTGCCCCGTCCGGCTTCTTATAGAGGAGCCTCTGGCGGCCGGAGCCCTGGAGCAGGAAAGGCCGGCGCGGGGCGCTCCCGCGAGGAAGGAAGGCGCACGAGAGCGCAAAAGGGGGGCGCCGAGGGGAGGGGGAGGGCCTGGGGGAGCGGCGCTCGCTCCCTCCCTCCCTCCCTCCCTCCCTCCCGGGGGACCCGAGGGCGCCCAAGCCCGCGCCTTTGGGAGGAGGGGGAGGGTCCTGCGCCTGCCTGTCACTCAGCCGCCCGGCCCCTCCGCCCAGCCCACCCCAAGACCCAGCGCCCGGTGCTTCATGGCCCCGACGACCAATCAACCAACCAAGGCAGGAAGGCGAGCGGAGCGGCGGGCGGGCGGAGAGAGGGAGCGCAAGGTAGGGCGAGGAGCGGGTCCGGCGGGGCGTCCTCTCCCTTCCCGCCTCGGCCGCTGCCTCGCTGCCTCCCCGCGTGGGACTCCTCGAGCCGCCCGCCTGCCCGCCCGCCGGCCCGCCCTGGGCTTTGCGGCGTCCTCGCGCCTCCTCTCTCCGGAGCCTTTTGGCTGCTTCTTCGGGCCAGACGTCATCCCCGCCTTGGCCTTGGCCCCAACAGTCCTCCGCGCCTCCTTCCATCCCGCGGTGGCAGAAAGAGAGAGAGAGACACACACATACAGAAAGAGAGAGAGGCAGAAGCGGCAAGAGCAGCAGATGGAGCGAATTAAGCCCGCCGCAGCCCCTGAAGCGCTCCGCTCCGACCCAGGACGCAAGAGATGCCCGGAGAGGAGGAGCAGGAGGAGGAGGAAGGCGGAGGGTGCGCGCGGCCCAAGGCGCTCCGGACTCTCAGAAGCCCCATTTGGGTCTGGCCTGGCCCCGACTCGGGGAGACCTCGGCGGAACGATGCGAGAGGCTCTGCTTCAGAGGAGGGGCCACCGCTGGGGATTCCTGGCCTCAGAAAACCCTACGGAGTGAAAAGTGCCATTAGACGTACAGAAGCAACTTGAAAGGGAAGCGACGGGCTTCACAGAGCCAGCGAGAGACAAGAGACTAGGGAGGAGTCAGGGGGGACCTCCTGGAGAGGCCGGGAGCGGCGTGGTAGTCACCCCAAGGCCCGCTCCGCCTGCCGGGAGGGTCATCAGACCCAGCGCACACCACCGCTTCCTTCTTTTCTGCCTGAAATGTGCTGCGCCTCGTTGTAGAGGTGAAATGCCGACAATACCCCCCAGGGTACCTCTTCCACATGCCACTCGTGGAAAGATTCGTGCCCCCGTCCCGCCAAAGTGACCCGCTTGTCTCACCCCCCCTCCTTCCATTCCCCCGCCCATCCATCCGCTTTGTGGGCAGGTGCCCCTCTTGGGTTCGGGAATGCCCCTCTCTTGTATGGCCGTGGCAATGTCCCTCCGTCTTCTGGAGATGTCTTGCAGCAGGTGAATCAGGCGCATCTCAAGTCTTCAGAGCTTTTCGGCAGACCACTTTAGGCCGCCAGAGGTCAAGTGCAGAAAGGGAAAATGGGGGTCCATTTCTGTGGCTGATGATTGGCCACTCGCACTGTTCTCCTAGGCCTGTGCTTCTCAGCCTGTGGCTCCTCAGGTGTTTTGGCCTTCAACTCCCAGCAATCCCAGCCAGTTTGCCATCTGTTAGGATTCCTGGGAGTTGAAGGCCAAAACACCTGGGGAGCCACAAGTTGGAAACCACTGTCTGATCACCTCTTCCTGATCCCTTGCTTTCGTTATTAGTGCTGCAGGCATCATATAATATGCCCACACCTGTGGTGACAAGGCAGGCATCATTCCACCTCAGGCTTCACTCTTTGTTTCCAGAACTTCGGGGAGCAGGAAGTCTTCTTCAACAGGAAGTTCCCTTCATGCCCAAAATCAGAATCCACCCTCGCATGCAATCCTAACAAAAGGCACCTCTTGTCTCCATGAGCAACAGGCTGTTGGCTTATTGCATCTGATCCCTTAGAATCGTGGTTCTCAACCTGTGGCTCCCCAGATGTTTTGCCCTTCAGCTTCCAGAAATCCTAACGACTGGTAAACTGGCTGGGGTTTCTGGGAATTGTAAGCCAAAAACATCTGGGCACCCACAGGTTGGCAACCACTGCCTTAGAAACATCCCAGGAGAGCAGCTGCATGTTTCATACCGAGCTAGGCAGATCCACTCTCCAGCAGAGCCATTGCATAGACTGTCCACATAGGTCATTACAGCTCGATCACACATGGCCACCGCTCAATCTTATTGGATGGATCCTTACCCTTTTCGCTAGAGAACTCCTCTCAGGAGTGGAGCTGAAGGGATATATATAGGCGTGTGAAGCCATTCCGGGTGCCACCCCTGACCCTCCTTATCTTCTAAGATCAGACAGGGCGTAGTAGTGTCTTCAGGAACTTTAGTATTTGCACGCATACCTGGAAGTCACCTGCCGACTAGGAAAAGTGCTACCTGCCCAATTGTGGTGACCTCATGAGGGTTTTCTGAGGCATCCTCAGAGCTGTTTTTGCCGGTTCCTCCCCCTGAAACAGACCCTCCTGCAACAGGCCTGTGTTGGCGGCCTCCCAGAGCTGGCCCTGGTTAGCAGCCAAGACCAGGCGGGATCTGGTGCCTTGCAGGGGACTTTGGGCGACAGCGGGAAGGGAGGGAGGACGACGCTTCCTTGCTCCCGGCGGCCGCTCCGTGCCGAAAGCGCCTCCTCCCGTGCCCGGTGCGGCCAGCAGGGGCTGTTGCAGGCTCGCCTATTCAGGCGCGGGGCTCCGGAGGCAGGAGCAGCGGAGGCCAAGGCCCGGCTCCAGCCCCCGGGACGCATGCCCTTGCCTCGGCAGGGAGGGCCGCCGCTTGCCTTGGAGGGTCTTGGGCAAAAAGAGGCGGAGGAGAGCGGGCGGAAAGGAGCGAGTCACGCAGGGACTGAAGGGGGAGGACCTGCCTGTTGGGACTCCCTGAACTGAGGGCAAAAAAAATGAGGGGGTTTCCTTCTATTTGTTTTCATAGCTTTCTGTTATTTTGATATTTTAAGATTTTACAAATATAAATCTTTGCCAGTGTTTATGGGGATGTGTCCCTTCCTTTCGCCTCCCTCACCCACAAAAGCCACAAAAGGAAAAGGTTTTCCCCTGACATTAAGTCTAGTCATGTCCGACTCTGGGGGTTGGTGCTCATCTCCATTTCTAAGTCGAAGAGCCGGCGTTGTCCACAGACGCCTCCAAGGTCATGTGGCCGGCATGACTGCATGGAGCAACGTTTGCCTTCTCGCCAGAGCAGTACCTATTGATCTACTCACATTTGCATGGCTTCGAACTGCTAGGTTGGCAGAAGCTGTACTTAACAGCGAGAGCTCACCTCACTCCCCGGATTTGAATCACCAGCCTTTCAGTCAGCAATTTCAGCAGCTCATTGGTTTAACCCGCTGCACCACAAGAAACTTTTGCTTCAAAAAGGGCTCTGCAGCTGAAAAAGTTTGAGAACCCTGGTGTAGAAGTACCTCCAGACTCTGAAGGGTTTAAGTCCCCACTTAGTCATAGAAATCCACTGAGTGACCTTAGGCAAGTCACACTGAGCCTCTATATATTTTATTCCCCCAAACACGCACACACACTACAGGTGAGTCTGGCTGCTTCTTAAAGGTAAATGAGATGCTAAGAAGTGCAAAGATACAGTAAGGATTCAAACAAACAAACAAGCCAAACAGTAAAGTCATACAGTCATAGTGTCATAGAGTCAAAGAGTTGGAAGGGCCCTCATGGGCCATCGAGTTCAAACAAGGCAGATCTCAGCTGCTCATCCTGGGCTTGACAGATGGAGAGAGAAATGCTCACAGTTCAGCCTCCCATGGCTCTGAAGTTCTCCATGGCTTATTGCCTCCCTTCAGAAAAAGCCACAGAATTGATGTCCAGCAGCCTCCACAAGCAACTTTTCTTTTGGACTGGAAATTGTTGTTTCTATTCATTGGTTTCTTTTCGATTTGATTAGTGAGTTCCACGTATCTTTGAAAGTCATTCTGATCTCACCTCACCCTGCAAGCTTTAGGAGGCTCAAATTGTTTCCAAGTGGAGCTTTTTATATGGCATTTTACAGTGTGTCCACAATAGTAAAGTAAAGGTAAAGGTTTTCCCCTGACATTAAGTCTAGTCGAGTCCAACTTTGGGGGGTGGTGCTCATCTCCATTTTAAGCCAAAGAACCAGCATTGTCCATAGACACCTCCAAGGTCATATGGTCAGCATGACTGCATGGAGTGCCCTTACCTTCCACCGGAGTGGTACCTATTGATCTACTCACATTTGCATGTTTCCAAACTGCTAGGTTGGCAGAAGCTGGGTCTAACAGTGGGAGCTCTCCCCACTCCCCGGATTCAAACCACCAACCTTTCGATCAGCAAGTTCAGCAGCTGAGTGGTTTAACCCACTGTGCCACCAGGGGCTCCTGGCCTAAATATCCTTAAGACATTGGATCCTCTCTGATCTTGAAAGCAAACATGGTCAGACCTAGTCAATACTGGGATAGGGACTACCAATGAATAAAACCTATATTTCAGAGGAAGGAAGTGAACAAACATCCTGAGGCTATTCCTTAAGAAAACCCTATGAAATTTGTAGGCTCCCTAGAAGTCACCAGCCAGCATGAAGACATGTCAACACCACATCTTTCACTTGTAATCCATGTTTATTTTCCTCCATCTTTTGATTTGTGACATTTGAAAGCAGACA